TTTGATGCGCCGCTGATCTTGCAGAGTGGTTCAGTTGTGTTACCAGTAGTTGTTCTGACTCTGAAAATCTGGTTTTTTTCTTGGGCTTTTGCAACTGAGCTCTCCCTGTGGAGTTGGCACATTACATCTGAAGTAGAACTTCATTTGGATTTGTGTGTGGGAATGGGAAATGGAGAAGGGGCCTTCAGCAGAGCTTTATCTAATTGTCCCAAGTCGTTTGCTTTTCCAGATACTGACTTGTGTCCTGTGGCCTTTGGGTCTGGTAGCAAGACCACTTGAACTTAACCAATAGACACTTGATTTTTAAGAGCTATTGACTGAATTCTGGCTTTCTTGGCTCCCAGGGAGTGGGCAGACAGAACACTGGTACCACAAAACCTACGAAAAAGCAAGTATCAGACAGTTTTCCCCCATTGCTGCGCTCTGTCAAGTCTTCCCAGCTAAACCAGCCAAGCCTGCTTACACTTGTCCTTCCCCCTGGTAAAAAAACACAAATGACTTCTGCATCTTAATTGGCTTTAGGTTGTTTAATTGCAGAAGGCCTGATGTGGGGATGCTGGCACACATGAAGCTATTTTCCACCTTCCCTTCGGTGAAGATACGATGACGAGTCAGAAGGGATGTCCTTGTGTCATCGCAGCCCGTTCAGTGCCACGTTCTGTGGTGCTGTGCTCAGGCTGCCTTGGGCAGGACGTCCTACTCATTGGATGATTTTGAGGCATTTGTCTGAGAAGGGATGTGGAAAAAAAAAAGGGCAGTTTTCTGGGAAAGTGAACTGAGTTATCCCAGGAAAGAGAGGGTTTAAAATAAGGATTAGTGTGAATTAAAGGTACGGTGCATTTTCATCGTGATCTCAGGCTGCAGTTATCAAAGGCAAGGAATTGGATAAATGTAAATACATTGATGTAAATTCACAATAATTAGATTTTTTTGAACTGTAGCACGTTTGTGTTGATGAGGTTGCATCTTCAGTGCTGTAAGGAAGTGTTTTTTGACGCAGATAATATTTTGTAACCTCGGGATTTGATATTTTCTTGCTATTTTCTGCCAAGTGAAAATTGTCTGTGGTGTTCGATTTGATATTTTCTTGCTATTTTCTGCCAAATGAAAAATGTCTGTCATGTTGTCACTCTTCGCAGGAGTACTGGGAATCAAAGTAAAGATTATGTTGCCCTGGGACCCAAGTGGAAAGATTGGCCCCAAAAAGCCTCTGCCAGACCATGTCAGCATTGTGGAACCCAAAGAAGAGATCTTGCCCACCACCCCCATTTCAGAGCAGAAAGGTGGCAAACCAGAACAGCCAGCCATGCCTCAGCCCGTTCCCACTGCCTGAGGGGTAAGTGCCTGTGCAGGGTGGGAGAATCCACGTGGAAAAAAGTTGTCCTATCACCAAAAAAAGCTGTTGGGAAGGTGGGATACTGGGAAGAAAAGGTGCTGTGCTGTCCCAGGTGCAGTGAGGAGCTGGGTTGGGTTTTGACTATTGCCCTGGATGAAGGGAGGGCATGATTTAAGGCAGAGGCTGCAAACCAGCTGAGCACACCCTTCAGTGAAGATGAGATGACGAGTCTGAAAGGAAATAATCCTTGTCCAAGCACCCTGTATCCTGTTGTGTCCTACAGCGTGGATTTGGGGGGCTTGGGTCACAGTTTGAGTGACTTTGAGGCATTTGTCTGAGAAGGGTTCAATGCCTTGGATGTTTTTACATTTCACCACCTGCTACCAGTGTGCTGTTGACAGCAGAGGTTATATATTCCTCATGTCCTCCCCCAGGGGATCCAGTTTGGGTAGATTTAGAAGCCCAGTAACGTTGAGTACAATGTGTAGGGTAGTTTTTTGTGAGTAAATAATCAAGGTTTGAAATCCCATCTCCCTGAATGAGTAGCTTTTAAGACAGAAATTGATAGTTTGAAGTTGTCTGAGAGCTGCTCTGGGTTGTTCCCAGCGAAAATGGACGACTTGCTGCATTTAAAAGCTTTTCTCACTTTTTCTAATTAAAGCAGCAGGAGGCACGGGGCCCTAAGGCTTCTTCTGGAAGGTTTCCTTAGCTGCTAGTAAAAGCCAGGCTGCGTCGTTGTCTGACTGAAGCTGGCCTTGTGTGAACAAGGGCAGCAGTAAAACAAGAAGCTGATGAGCAAGGTGGACTTCTGTGGGGAGAAGGGGGGATCATTGATGTGAGAGATGCTGTTTAATTTGAATTCTTGGAGTCTCTTCACTATTTTGGGTAGGAGAATGGTTATGGGAAATGGTTTGCCACCATCTCACTCAGTCTTTTGTTGTGTTTTTTTTTTTTTTATTGTAGGGTCACTCAGTCTTTTGTTGTGTTTTTTTTTTTTATTGTAGGGCTTGTAACATCTGCAACCAGAAGCTTGGCTGTCCTGAAAACATCTCTTAATAAAATCACAAAAGACAGTGTTTGTGGAGGTGCTTTTTTTTTTTCCTTTTTTTGGCAAGATGTATTCCAGGAAAGCCTTGTTCCCACCTTTCCTATGGAAGGAATTCTCTTGCATTTCTTCCAGCTTCACATCCTTTTGGAGTGAACTTACCAGACCTTAATCTAAACAAAGTGGAGACAAAATACTGATATCTAGGTAATGCTGGAGCACAAATGTGGTATTTAGGGGATTGTGAATGACTCTCCATGATCTGGAGTAGTACTGGTAACTTTTCCCTTATATACCAGTCCCTTTCTCCAAGATTTCCAGAAGGGGGAGCATTTTTAGCAATATCCAAAGCAGTTGCAGTAGTTTTATACCTTCCTGGCTTCAACTGAATATTACTATATTTTGCTAAATACTCTTTTCACCTCTACTTGTCACTGAAAAGACATTCATTATGTAGCTTTCAGGGCTGTAGACCGTATAGGAACATTATAGCTTATATTAAGCTATTATATAAATTTACATTATTGTATCTTGGGGTCAGGTAACCTTAGTTGGTGGAGATATGGGGTGAGACAAACTTCTGAGTTTAATTTACACATTACCTGGGGAAAAAGGTGTACACTCTGGGTTTCAAACCTTCTCTCCTAAGCTTTGAGATGGAAAAATATTTGAGTAATTTGGGAAAAACTTGTCTTCCTCTGAGCCTCGAGTAGCCAGTCCATTAATTTTTCACTGTAGTAATAACTGGCTTTCATGAGCTGTAGGACAATGGATAGATTCTGAAGTTGATAGTAGGTGACAAGGCTACTTTTGCTATTGAAATGCATGGTTTGAAGGCAGGGATGTGTTTTCACTGCTATTGTATGAATTACTTCTGGTGCTGTTTTCTGCAGTCGAGCTAAAGCTCTGTAGCTGAAGCAGCGATTGTGAGAATTTGGTTAAGTTTCAGGCAGTTGAAGTTTCATTTTTGTTCTGTCAACTCCTTTCCCAGTCTGTTTTCCAAACTCCTGGGCAGTAATGGGAAGAGACTTACACACATCCTAAGAGATTGTATGTGCAGGATCAAGGCTTTGTTTTGCTCAGATTTCGAGAAACTCAGAACCTGTTTGTTGCATTAACAGAAATCATACAAATCTGCAAAATTTATTGCGTAGGAATAGCTTTTTACATCCAGATTTCCAATTTTCAGAAGGCTTCTCTGCAGGAGCAGGTGACTTATGAACTGGAATTTCAAACTGGCAGTGCCAGGAACTGGTCTGTCTGGCCGTGTGTGGATGTGTGAGCCTCAGCCTTCCTGTTCCCAGCTTCTCTGGCAGCCTCCTGGAAACTGGCCTGGCTGGGAAACTGGTTAAGTGTCAGAGACAGATGTGTCTTTTCAGAGTGTCAGAGAATGAGTCTGATTTCAGGTTTCTGTGCACATCTTTGGGTGGGAAGCTTGGGGAAAAAAGTTACTACATTTTAAGTGTTAGAGTAAGTAACACCAATGTGAATTTTTGCTTTTTTCTGGAAAAAATAAAGGTGACAGACCACCTTTGTCACTTTTTAGGAGCAGGAAATGTGTGAAAGCTGGAGGGCCCAAAGCAGTAGAAGGTTGACACGCAGCGCAAGGCCTTGCACATTGTGTCTAAATTTTTGAACATCCAGATGTTCTGGATGATGGTCAGCTAGAAATTCCTCCTGTGGCTCTCCAGCGAGGAGTTTTTGGTTTAATACCCTCCAACCTGGTCCATCAGGCTGTTAATCAGTGCTGATCACTGGTAGAATAAAGAGATATTTAGTCACTTGTGTGTAAGATGAGTAATTTAAAGCTTCTTGCAGGATGAGCTCGTGGTAGGACGAGCTCGGGAGCTCTGGAAGGCTTTTAACTTATTTCAGTATTGCTTTTGATGGGGTTAATGGGCTGGTTTGTTTAGTGCTGGAGATGGCTTCTGTGATTTTTTGTGTGGTGAAAGGCACTGATTTGGCAACTGCCCAGTACTTTCCCAGTCTGAGAAGTGGATGTATGTGCCCGCCTGTCCCAGACAAGTGCTATTTTGGCACATGAGGGGGGAAAAAAAAAGAGGGGGAGATGTTTGTGGCTTTAGCTTTATTTGTGACCAAGTGGCAGAAGGTTTTATGTGGGCAGCACGTTAAGCCATGGAAGGACACCCTGCTGGATTTTCCAGCTGTGGTGGCCACGGCAATGGTGCAGGATTTTGGGGTTCTTTTTTCCTCCTCTATTTTCCTCAATTAGATCCCTAGAGAAGCTTGAGGTTGTAGGATCAGGAAGGCAGGTTCCTGTGTCTAATGGTTCACTTCTTATTCCTACACTGCCCTATTTTCACAGCTATTTGCTGCTCTGTTAAATGGCAGGGCAGAAGGTCCTTTACCTGTGAAGCATTAAAGATGCTGGATTCTTGCAGTTGCAGGAGAAAAATTGAAAAGTGAAGTGAAAAGCTGACCTGCTAATAGTGTTCCTTTCCCATGACAGACTTGGGAGTTCATCTCTTGTGTATTAAGTGACATTTTTGTCCATAATTGCCAGATTAAGAAAGGTGTATTAGATTTAAGGATGGCAAGGAACCTCTCCAAGTTTAAAGTCTCCACCCATACCCTGCAGTGGACCGTGGCTGCCAGAGGTTCATTGAAAAAAAAAAAAAGTTTTTATTGCAAAATTATACAACAGTCACTGTGTGGTAGAAGAACAGACAATAAAAGCCATCAGACGCCTGCATCCACACGATGCAAATTATTCACAATATCCCACAGTGTGTTTTTTTTTTTTTGCCTTACCCCCACCCCTTTTTTTACCCACCCACCCCCCCATCCTCCAGAACATGCGTGTGGGTTCCTGTGTGTGTGGATTCACTGGGTCGTGTCTCACATACACACGGGGCTTCAGGCTTCCTGTGCACTTGGGTACATCCCTGTGGATGGCCTCCTACCTCCCGACACAGTGGGGAAAACACCTGGGAATTAGGATTTGGGAAGAGGCTTGAGGAGAAGAGTCTCCCATTCTGGCTGGCTTGGGTAGGAATTAAGACTTGGATGAGCTGTTTTGTACTTCAGGTCAAATTTGGGAGTGTGAGCTGCTGTATTTTTTTGCCTGTAGGAAGCACCTAATAAGAGACTTTTGTTGTAACTTAATAAATAAATGGGAATGGTCTGAGGAAATGCAGTATCGGGCTTCTACGTAGCAACCTGACAGTAAGCACCTTGTCAGGGAAATAAAAACAGAGAAAAGCAGTGGGGTCACTGGTTTTAAATAACTGGCACTTCGATTGCAATGCCCAGATTTCTCTCGACTCAATAATCTTGTCATTGCTTGCTTTATGATGTCTCTCAGTGCGTAGCAAGCTTTACCTGACACATGCTTTAGTGATCACAGAATCAGTTTAAAAGGTATTAACCTGATGATATCCCTTAAAGAGAGGAAGATGGGAATAGCCTCCAAGTCTAGGCTGGAGTGGGCTGTGAAACTTGCTAATTATCGGACATAAATATGAGTATAACTATAAATACATTTGTTTTTCAGCGTGCCCTTACCCAGGTCAGCCAACAGGGAGCTAAAGTATCATGGAGGAGAGGAGCTTCAGGAAAAAGGTCATTAGGAAGTCAGCTCTAAAGCTTTGTATTTAAAGATAAGTGAACCTGGACCATCTCCCTGGGAGAACCCAGTTCCTCAGGCTGCCATGGGAGCTGATCTATCAGCCCCAGTCATAACTGGGAGAACCTTCACAGTGGTAACTGTCTCTTTCCCAACCCAATGTGTTGATGCAGAAGCACCACGAGAGATGGATTTTCCTCTCTTTGCCTGGTACAGGATGTTAAATCCCAGATGTTGGCCCAAGAGTCCCCTTGGTGATCCTCAGAGGGATAGAGCCCAGCCATTTCTGTCATGCAAGTGTTGAAGGGACCTCAGGTTTATCTTTCTAGAAGCCCATCATCTGCTTTCTGGCCTCTCTGCTGACACTCCTAAGCTACTTTTGAAGCGTTGAGCGAAGCTGTGCTTGGCTTTGCAGTGAGATTTAGGTGAGATATTAGGAAGAAATTCTTTGCTGTGAGGGTGGTGAGACACTGGAACAGGTTGCCCAGAGAAGCTGTGGCTGCCCCATCCCTGGAGGTGCTCAAGGCCAGGTTGGAGGGGACTTCGAGCAACCTGGTCTAGTGGGAGGTGTCTCTGCCCATAGAACTAGATGGTCTTCAAGATCCCTTCCAACCTAAACCATTCTATGATTCTAGCTACGGAGCTGATGACCTGATGTAACAGTCATCCAAAGCAGGGTTAGGGAGGACAGAAGGGCACAACTCCATACAATCTTTGTTCTTCTGTGCTGTTACAGTCCTACTCTGCTGCCATGGATGGCACTGGACCACGGAGTTGGCCCTTCATGCTCTGATGATAGAAAAAGAGAAGCAAAGAACAACTGCAAAGCGATCAGAGGGAGAAAAGTGGCAGAGGTCAACGTGCAGAAGTGGTTAAGATGGCAAGATGGAGGCCTTGTCCCTTCGCAGGGCTGATGGCAGCAGCAAGGTACTGAGCAGGGGGCTAAACTCTAGAGCTAGGCATCAGCCTGAAGATCTCAGCTGAGACAGTGCGTGCCAGTTCCCTTCCACTCCTGGTGACCCCTCTTGTGCCAGGCTGCCCTGTTCCTCTCTGGAGGTGGGTTTGTGCAATAAGTATTTTGGGGTGAGGTAAAAGTGTATGCTGGTTTCTTGTCACAATGCACCCTGGTCTGAATAGCACCCATAGTTCGAGAAGGATACAAAATAGTGTTTCCCCTTTTTTTTTTTTTTTTGAAGGCCCCCACAAAAAAAAAAAACCCCTCAACTAACTACAACTCATCACGCATCTTGTCCCCTTTGGGCCTCACGAGCCTGCCGATGAAGAGGATGGAGTTGGTTTTAGTGTCCTTGATCATGAAGATGAAGGGGTGGTCAGCGTAGAAAAGCTTGGGGTTCCTCATCTCCTCTCGGCCATAGATGTCAGCATCGTAGGGGTTCCCTTCCGTGTCCCATTCAAGAGCAGCAGCGTGGAAGACGTTGGACAGGTAAAGGTCTTTCTTGCCAGAGATCTTTGACAGGTCAGCCTTGGCTTTGTCAATGGCTTCTGTCAGGCCCAGATCAGCCAAGTGTTTCTAGGAGAAGAAAAGAGGTCAGCAACCCTCCTAGAGATGACACAGTGCAATGCTCTCCAGCCGTGGTTAGACTAGCAGCTAGAACCATCATCCCACTATCTTCTCTCCCACCCCAAAGAACTGTTTTCTTGAAGGACCTCCTTTACCTGAAGGTCGTGGCTGACTTCCAGGACGACTTTAGGCAGCGAGATGGCCACTGATCTCTTCTTCATCTTGCCAGCCCAGGTTTTTAGCTGCTCCCTGTTCAGCAGTTTCTCAACCCTCTCCAGAGGCTCCACGTGGTTTGGCATGATGAAGATCATGCTGGAGAGCTTGTGAGCAAGTGGCATCTCTACCACCTGGAGCTTCTCTGTCTCATCATCATAGTAATTGTAGAGACCTTGAAATCAGAAGCAGAAAAGGGTGAGATGTGCAGCCACAGGCAAAGACACCTACAACCTTGTAAATTCACCCCAGAATTTCCCTGACCATCAAGGGAAGTGAGTCTGAATGTTCTTTTGGGACCTGGCCCAGCATTATCAGAGTTGGCAACAACTCAACCACGTCTCCCATTTGTGTGATGAGCTGGGATTTATTCCCAACATCCAAGTACTGTTGGGTGAACTGTTGGGTAAACGTGGATTCCTTCTGCTCACAGAGAGATTGAATCAGTGCAACTCCTGTTGGTCTTGACACGGGGCAGAAGGTTTGCCAACTTACCAGTGCGATGCATCATGGGAACTCCCACGGTGTAGGAACGGGTCACCATGAAGCCACGGTTATCCACCATCTTATGGTGGAACTTCTCATCCCAGTGAGCTACAGGAGAGAGAAAGGCAGCTTGTAAGAAAAGGGAATGGGTGATACTTTGATGCACAGTTCCTAACTACTCGGATTTAGGCTGCCAAAACCTAGCCTGAGCTAGATTTTGGGTGACTTTTACCAAGAACTGAAGGTAGAACTTACGCTTGAAGAACATGGCATTGACGATGAGGGCCCCATCGGTTTTCTCGACGTCTTTCGTGACCTCTGGGAGTTTCCCATCCGTGGTCTGGGCTGCCCACTCGTTAATGGATTTCAGGGCGCTCCTCTTGTCTCGGAAGTTGATCTTGGAGTGCTCGTAGTTGTAGTGTTTCTTGCTGTTCTTCACAAAGTCATCGGCGAAGTTGATGGAGGCCGGGCCGTACAAGCGGTTGCCGATCTTCCAGGTGACGTTGCGAGCTGTGCTGTTGCTGACCTCGTTCAGGAGCTCGGACAACCCGCTGTGCACGTAGTCATCGTTCAGTTTGTCTGCGCTGAGCACCGCCTTGGCTTGGGAGGCAGTTGTGGCCTTACCCCCCAGGGACACGAGGCCAAGGGATGAGGCCACCACCACTGGGGACAGCAGGATGTTCTCCATGTTCTTGTCTTTCGCCATGGCATGGTAGAGGTTGAAGGCCAGCGTCGTGCTGCGGTCGGCCAACGTCGTTGCCTTGTCGCTCAGCTTCCTGTCCTCCGAGGGCACGGCGGCAGCGAGGCCGCAGAGGGCGAGCACCAGAGTAATCCACATGGTTTCAGCAGCACTGGCCACCTCTGAGGACCTGCTGGGCAAGAAGAGCTCACCATGATTCAAGCCCCTTCCTACAGCATTCACAGACCCCAGGGGCTCTTCCAGTGAAACCCACTCCTAAGTTTCAGTGATAAAGCATCAACACTTCGCTTGCGGTACAGAATCACAGAATGGTGGGGGTGAAGACCATCTAGTCCAACCCCCTGCCAGAGCAGGTCCACCCAGAGCAGGTTGCACAGGAACATGTCCAGGCAGGATTTGAATGTCTTCAGAGAAGGAGACTCCATCACCTCTCTGGGCAGCCTCTTCCAGGGCTCTGCCACTCTCAAAGTAAAGTTCCTCCTCATGTTGAGATGGAACTTCGCATGTTCAAGTTTGTGCCCATTTCCTCTTGTCCTATCCCTGGGCACCACTGAAAAAAGACTGGCCCCATCCTCCTGACACCCACCCTTGAAGGATTTAGAGGTGTTGATCAGATCCCCCCTCAGCCTTCTCTTCTCCAGACTAAAAAGCCCCAAGTCCCTCAGCCTTTCCTCAGCAGAGAGATGTTCTAGTCCCTTTATTGTCTTTGTGTTCCTCTGCTGTCCCTTCTCCAGCAGTTCCCTGTCCTTCTGGAACTGGGGAGCCCAGAACTGGTCCCAGTGCTCCAGCTGGGGCCTCCCCAGGGCAGAGCAGAGGGGCAGGATGACCTCCCTCCACCTGCTGCTCACACTCTTCCTGATGTTCCCCATTGCCATTGGCCTTCTTGGCCACAAGGGCCATTGCTGGCTCGTGGTCATCCTAGGTACAACAATCCCAAGTCCACGCTGGGCTTTCCCCTGAGCAATAATTAATCTTCAAGAGTCCAGGCTGCACTCTCACATGCAGAGCCTGTGCATTTTTGTACAAGAGCTTTTTAAAGCAATTTTACTGTATGTCCACGTCAGCAAATGATTTAAGGAGAGACCAGGGAGTGGAAGCAACAGATATTCCTGTTCCCAGAGCAGAAGGTCAAACCTCCACCCTCGTCTGGAAAAGCTAAAAGTAAGATGTTTCTAGTGCCCAAGGGCCACGTAGAACAGTGCTTCCATCGATCCAGCAGCTATCCTGGCCAGTGTAAGGCAAGGATTGTCCTCTCTGGGGACCCCAGCTGGGTACCCAAACGCTCAGCTTTCTAGACACTAGATGGAGCACATGAGCTTCCACCAAGCTAAGTCAGAGGAACCTCTTGAGAAGCTCCACCGCTGTCTGCCGAGTTCTGGCTGACTTAGTTTAGCCTGTATCAGGGAGATACCGGGGCAGAGGAAGGTGGTGGATCCCTCCTTTCACCCAGCAGAGCCCCCTCCCAGTATGTTCATGCAGTAGGTAGATGGATCTATCACAACGTAGGTGCCCCCATCCCCAGTTGAGGGCTCTGAGCTACTAACCACGATAAATCTGCCGACAGACCAGTCCAAAACGCTGTGCCTGAAAGCTCTTTGGACCTCATCCTGCCTTGCCTTGGAGGCCACAACCTGTCCCTAGACAGAATCACAGAATCTTCTAGGTTGGAAGGGACCTTAAAGATCATCTTGTCCAACCGTCAACCTAACTGACAAAAATAGACACCCACACAACAAACAAGGAGCACCATCACTAAACCAGACCTCCCAGCACTACATCAACCCGTCTTTTGAACACCTCCAGGGATGGTGCCTCAACCACCTCCCTGGGCAGCCCATTCCAATGCCTGATGACCCTTTCAGTGAAAAAATTTTTCCTAATATCCAGCCTGAACCTCCCCTGGGGCAACTTGAGGCCATTTCCTCTTGTCCTGTCGCCTGGGACTTGGGAGAAGAGACCAACCCCCACCTCTCTACACCCTCCTTTCAGGGAGTTGTAGAGAGCAAGAAGGTCTCCCCTCAGCCTCCTCTTCTCCAGGCTGAATAACCCCAGTTCCCTCAGCCTCTCCTCATAAGACTTATTCTCCAGATCCCTCCCCATCTTTGTCGCCCTTCTCTCTTCCCTCCTGCCTTCACCCTGCTCACAGCAAACCTTCCTCGATGGCACTTCCCCAGGGGCTTAAATCCCACATTCTGTGCCCAAAGCGAGTTTTTCTTGCCCAAAGCCACCTTTTCCTGCATCACACCCAAAGCTTGAGTGTTCCTCGGTCCTCTCCTCCCACCCAGCCTGGGAAGGTTGCTCCTTGCAAGAGGAGGGAGAAGAAAGGGCTGGGATGGGGCAGCGTCAGGGTTAAAGCCGAGGAAGAGCGCAGGAAGCGAAGGGCCCGCCGGGATTACATATGGAAGGAAGCACGCACATCGCCCGAGGGGAAGCGGCTGCGCAGTTGCACCAGGGACCCTTTGCCAGAGTGGGAATTACGTAGCCTCAGAAAAGGAGACAATCTGTGTCCTAAAATCCTTTTCGAAACAAGCCTTCCGTTGGGAGGAAGAGCCATCCCCGGCCACCTCCGAGCAAAAAAACTCACTCAACAGGCTCAAAACCCGCCCTTGATAAACTTTTTAAGGCGCAGACAGCATCGGGGGTGGCAGGCATTTAAAAAAAAAATATCTGAGGGTTTAGGGTTTTTCCTCTTCTTTTATTTTTTTCTCCCCTTTTATTTCTAAAGATACCTTGAAACTCTTTCCTAGGGAGGTCAACGTTTGCCTTTTTCATTCTGAAAGAAAACAGACACAAGGAGTAGTTCTCTCGCGAGCGCCGCTGACATCCTCAGCTTAAAATATAATAAAAAAAAAAAGGTTTATTACTGGTTTATTACTTCAGAGAGCGGCATGAAATTTGGCCGGGCTGCGACGAGTGACGCATCCCGCGGCGGCCAGACGAGAGAAATTTTGCCCATCCTTGGATTAGGGGCTGAGGATTCCTAACCCAGGCTGAAAATCCAGGGAGTTAAGAGGAATGCAAGGGGAATGTGAAGTTGGGAACATCCTCTCCCGAGTTCCTACGGCCCAGCCCTACAAGAGGGACGCCCCTGTGCCAACGTGGCATCCCACAGACCTCCTTGGAGGTGTCAGGGACCCGCTCTCCTGGTAGGATTTGGAGGTGCCATCACCCACGACAACCATCCAGAGGCACACACCCCTTCCAGGACTCTATTTCTCTCTCTTGGCCGAGACAAAGGATGGAGGGATGCAAGCAAAAGGCCATCTCCATGTCAGCAGAGGGATGTGACACTTTGTTAAAGGCAGCAGAAGGACAGGGTTAGTCAGTCTGGTGGCAGGGAAGCTGGAGGGAGAGGTCTCCCTCCCGCACCGGGCTGGTGGCCAGGGTCCCGAAGGCTCCCAGGCTGGGCAGGAGCAGGGGCTGGAGGTTTTTCTCCAACCAGGACTGCTCTGGGACCTCTTGGACCAAGTTGGTGTTTCTCTTATCATCCCCCTCTTCTCTTTCTTCACCCCCTGAAAGCTTCTCCCGGGTGGGAAAACCAGGGTGTGCAGCTTCACTGCAAACTGGTGGTGGTGGATGGGGATGGGGGGTTGGGAGGGGGGAATCTTTTAACGTCTTTTCTCCAAAAAAAAATAATAAGAGCCAGCTTGTGGGGCAGTCTGGACCCTACACATCCCCCCACACCCACCCCAATGCAACCTACCCCCTATAAAGCCCCCTTTCCTCCCTA